TTCTTTTGTTAGGTGGCGTGTTCTATATTCTGTTGTTGGGTGGCGTGTTCTATCTTCTGTTGTTGGGTGCCATGTTCTATATTCTCTTGTTGGGTGCAGTGTTCTATATTCCGCTGTTGGGTGGTGTGTTCTATATTCCGTTGTTGGGTGGATGTTCTATATTCTGTTGTTCGATGGTGTGTTCTATATTCTCTTTTTGGGTGGCGTGTTCTGTATTCTGTTGTTGGGTGATGTGTTCTGTGTTCTATTGTTTGGGTGGCACATTCTATATTCTGTTGTTGGGCACCGTGTTCTACATTCTGTTATTGGGTGGAGTGTTCTATATTCTGTTGTTGGGTGGTGTGTTCTACAAAATGTCAGGTCAGGTTGGTTAAGGGTTGTTAGTTTAGGTTTTCTATATTCTTAGTTTTTTCTTTTTTTGCTCTTTTCATCAATTGCTATGAGAAAGAAGTGTTGAATTTTTTCAACTGTAATTGTGGATTTGTGTGTTTCCCCATTCAGTCCTATTGGTTGTTGCTTTATCTCTTCTCTAAAACTATATTTTAACTTACTTTTACTGATTTTGAAATAGATTTTTTGTTTAGGAAAACAAAGTGTTAAAATGTAAACCAACCAGAGATAATTTTAGGGAGCAGTGTTTAATTCAGCCTTCAAACTTGTTCATGAGTCGTGACCAATCTTTGTTGTCATATTATTATATTAAAAACTATTTCAGAGAGGAAATTTGTAGCCAGGTACAGTTTTTTTTGTAGTTTGATTAAAAAGTTAAATTTATCACAATGAATCATATATTTTTAATGTTACGATTCCTGTTGTATAAAAATTTTACTAAAAAATTTAAAAGGTGAGAAGAAGAGATCAAATTGTTTTGCAGTTATAAAATTATCACTAGTTTAGCCTTTGAGAATATAGGTAATAGATTAAAAATTCAATTTAAAAATGATTTAAACTGCTTTTGAGACTTCCTCCATAACTGACCTTTTTCATTTATGAAAAGCAGACACTCGCCTATGGGGACATGAACCATGAGTGGATCGGCAACGAGTGGCTCCCCAGCCTGGGCCTACCCCAGTACCGTAGCTACTTCATGGAGTGCCTTGTAGACGCCAGGATGCTGGACCACTTGACCAAGAAAGACCTTCGAGGGCAGCTGAAAATGGTCGACAGTTTTCACAGGTAACTTAATGGAGATAGTTCTTACTAATTGGCTAAGATTTTTCACTGTTACCATCTCTAAATCATCTCTGTTTTCTTCCAAATAGAAACAGTTTCCAGTGTGGAATTATGTGCCTGAGAAGGTTAAATTATGACCGGAAAGAACTGGAAAGAAAAAGAGAAGAAAGTCAGAGTGAAATAAAAGGCTAGTACATGACATTTAATTGATTTAGTTCACTCCTACTTGCTGGTGTGTTTGCAGCCTCAGTGACTTCCTGTTTTCCAAAAAATCAAGAAAGGCTAAATTTAAGTGGAGAAAACTAGTCTAGTGTCATTGCAGAGGAGGGCTGGATGAAGATGACTGCTTTTGACATCCTCTTCCACAGCCAGAGAACTGTTCCCTGTGTTCTCACACCTCAGTCTGGAGGTTAAATGTCTCAGGCTAGTCATTTCCTATGAGTTGAGAGTTTTCCTTTGGTCATGCCCTGTGTACTCCTTCACTCCAAAATGCTGTTCCACACTGTTAGATAACAACAGAGCAAAGCTCACTTGATGATTCAAGTGTAAGAAATATGACTGGGGGCTTATCCAAGGGGTTCAGGAACACAGGAAAGCGCCGTGCAGTTCTGCTCCCAGAGTGGAAGGAGAAGCAGCGTCCACATTTCAGCCAGTCCTTGAAGAAGGTGGAGGAGCTGCTTAGGGTAAGGAAAAGGCATTTCAGTTGGAAAACACAGGCCAGGGAGGTTAGAGGACGTGGGACATTCATCCAGAAGATGTGGAGTTGGTTCTCCTCTCTGTTGGGGAGCCTCTCACTCGGTACTCAAATTTATTTGTTTGTTTATTTATTTATTTTATTTTGAGACAGGGTCTCGCTGTCTAGCCCAGGCTGGGCTGGAGTGAAGTGGTGTGATCACAGCTCACTGTAGCCTTGAACTCCTGGGCTCAAGTGCTCTTCCTGCCTTAGCCTCCCTGGTAGCTGCTGGGACTACAGGCGTGAGACAGGGTCTCGCTATGTCACGTAGGCCGATCTCGAACTTTTGAGCTCAGGCGATCCTCCCACCTTGGTCTTCCAAAGTGTTGGGATTACAAGTGTGAGCCACCACACCCAGTCAGAATTTGGTTTTAAAGTTAGACGGTAAACATTAAGCTCAGAGTAATGACTCCCAGAATTCCTGGAATGCAAGGAAGTCACTAATAACAATAGCGATAAGAAGAGGCCAGCCTTACTCACAGTGAGTAGGCACCGGGTGGTGCTCCAAGCACTCCGGGGTTGGCTTCTTTCGTCTTTCCCTCAGCCCTGTCAGTCTAAGTGCTGTTTTCATCCCCACTTTTTACTAAGAAAGAAACTAAGGATAAAAACATGGTTGGGAGGTGGCCCAGCTGAAGGGAAGTTTACTCATGATTGAGTTAATGTGAATCAGGAGAAAAGTCGTAAGTCGACATTTATACAATGTGTGTATATGTATGGACTTTTATCCAGAAAAGGGCATTGGAAATGAAATATGTCCATCTGTTTTGTTTTCTGTATCTATTTTACATCTTTTTCCAATAGACAAAAACTGTCTGTGGAAGTGATTGGTGATCATCTGCATATATTTTTATAGAGTGGCTATTTTTAGATCTAATAGAGCAAATTGAATAATTTGTTAATTTTCTTAAGATATTGTGACCAGGCATGGTAGCTTATGCCTGTAATCTCAACACTTTGGGAGGCCAAGGC